GGGAACTAATATTTGCTGACTTCCTGTGACAGTGCTTTGCATGCATTAAATACCTGATCTTCACCAGAATATGGTGATGAATGTACTATTAACTCCATTTTGGAAAATCATGTTCGAACAAAACTTTTCCTTAGTCTTTCTAGTCAGTCAGCTTAAATCTTCACTGAGAAGCAGAGAGGTGTGCACTTGGTTTGTAATAGATTCCCTGAATGACTGGGACCAGAATGTGCCCAAATGGCACGTGGCGCGCTGACCTTGCAGTTGAGATTTCCACGTTCTCGATCAGTGGTTGTTGGGCACTGCTCATGCGCTGCGTAGCTGCCGGTGGCTCTCTGCTGTCTAGGATCACTCAGTCTTTTCATTAAAACGAATCCACGGTATCCAACCACTAAAGTGAGCAGATGTCTGCTCTTGCATCTTTAGAAGGCCACAAGTTAGAACCCATGTGTATAATTTGGCTTCATATTGTAGAATCAGTTTCTTTACCTGTCCCCATGTGAATATGAAAGTAAACTTAGTAATATAAGTCAAATTGTTAAAGGACTTCCTTCATTGACTAGAGAAGTAGAATAAGGCGGCTTTTTTTTGCTATCGATTGCATAAGGAAATAGGTTGTTTTATACAATTTGTATATATAGCCCTATGTATATGGCAGCGGTTCTCAACCTGTGGTCGCGACCCCTTTGGGGGTTGAAAGACCTTTTCACAGGGGTCGCCTAAGATCATCGGAAAACACGTATTTCCAATTGGTCTTAGGAACCGAGACACTGCTCCTCTATCCGTCTCCAGGCGGGTCCGCCCACATGCAGATACGCCCACATACAACATGAGGAACTGGATTAAAGGGTCGCAGCATTAGGAAGGTTGAGAACCACTGGAATGTGAGATATATGTGTACACACACACACACACAAGCAAACATGTATTTTCCATACAACTATATTTATAGCCCTATATAATTTGGGGCTGTGTATATTATAGTGCTTCTCAGAGGCACTCTTCATTTCCCTTACCCCCAGGAAGTAGAGTTTTGGAAGCGATTTAATCAAGGTTCATACCAGGGATGGGGGCCTACTTGCAGCTTATGCTCTGTACTCAGTATCTCTGACTGTATCGCAAAATTTAAAACATTTTCGAGGTTACTAATGTCAGGGAAAATTTCTGAAGCTTTGATTACAAAGGAAAGAGGGGCACATCACATATAGTCATTAGAAACAGCAATATACAAGGTAAAGCTCTTTGCAAGGCTTGTATGCAAACAAGCAATTTGTTGTTTATATAAATGTTTCCAAGCAGAGTCTATTCGTTCACTCAGATAGGGGGGAGTAAAGCCACGTGAGAAGGAAGAGATGACTGAGGTGGTCAGGAAGTCCCCTACGGAGGGGAAACACGAGCAGGGACCGAATGCCGTGAGGAATGTGCCAAGAGGAGATCCAAGTGAGGAAAGTTCCAGGCAGAAGGATTAGCCAGAGTAGGGGTCTGGAAGTAGAAAGAAGCAGCGCAGATTCAAGGACGACAAGAAAGCCCGCGTGGCCGAAGCAGTGTAAGAGAGGGAGAGAACGTTAGGTGAGAGGAGGTGGGTGTGGAGGGAACTGGGTGCAGAGGCAGATCGTGCAGGGCTCTGAATGTCACAGTAAAGAGTGTACACTTTATTTGCAATGTCATGGGAAGCCAACGAAGAGTTCTGAGCAGGGAAATGTGACAAAATGACCTATTTTCCAGGAGTCACTCTGGTTGGGGTATAAAAAACTGAACACAGGAGTGCAACAGCTGACGTAAGGAGACCTGTTTGGAGGGTACAGTGATCGTCCAAGAGGTGGTGACAGCCACTGAGGTGACAGCACGATGACACATGGCACATCTGAGATGTGATGAAGATCGAGGTGAAAGCACCAGCTGATGGACTGGAGATGACAGTCATGCTTCTGGCTGGAGTATTCGGGCAAATTGTGGTGCCATTTGTGGCACTTGGAAGGAAATGAAGTAGTCAACAAGTTTGGGAAGGAAAGTCAAGCGTTTCATTTTGAACATGTCGAGTATAAGACACCTAGTACACAGCCAAGAAAAGGTACTGAGTGTGCAGTTGGACTGACAAAAAAAATTATACTCTGGGTAAATAATAGGGCTGTAGGGCTGAGGGTAAAACTTAGGAGATACCAGCATAGAATGGTATGTAAAGCCACAGTCTCTGATGAGATCTCCATGGGAACACCAGGGATGAATGTAGACAGAAGGGGGAAGAGGGGTGAGCATGGAGTTCCAGGGCCCTCAGGCCTAGAGCTGGGAAGAGGAAGGAGACCAGCAAAGGTGATCGAGGATGTTGCTGATATGGCAGGAGACACCCAGAGAATATCTCGTGGAAGCCAAGAAAAGAAAATGTTTTCATAAAGAGGAGGGTGTGATCAACTTTGTCAAAAGCTGCTGAAAAGCTGAGTAAGAATATCAATTTATATAAAAAGAAAACTCTTACAGAGAAATATTAAACTAAAAATTAGGGGGTCTGTTGTTATTTTTACGGGAAAATAGGTTTATACAAGGTCATGATCCTACAAGTATTAATTGAACAGTTTTATTATAAAATCCAATGATTAATCAAAAAATAGTGACACTTAGATAATAGTTTTTACGTCAACCAGAGTCTTATCACACAAATAAGGCAATTAGCCCAAATGGCAACCAAAAGCCTCCTTGAAGAGCTACCCACATTGGGAAGAGTGATTTCTATCAGCTCTGAGGAACTTTAGCAAGTGCTATGTCGGTTGCGTTGAGTCAAAATATGAAAAGAGTGGGATGCCATCCTGTTGGAACGGACTAAGTGCTTCTGTCAAAATGCCCCATCACTGGTGAGTTTGCGTCATTATCATAACCGACATTATATATCCAAGTGAATGCCTCCAGGTTCCATTTTGATGTCAGCATTACTTGAATTTCTTGGCCTATCTGCAGATGTTTGGTGACAGCAGTGACCTCTGTGCAGAGTATTTCTTCCTTGAATGATTTGGAACATTCCAAACCGAGGTTGGCTTTCCCTTGTTTCATAACGTACCTCAAATGAATTATGTGCCCACTGAGCTGGTATATATTCAAAGAACGTGTTTAGGGAATGTGAATCAACAATAGCGTAAGTAAATCATTGGAATATAAAAGTGGCATACGACAAAATAATCTAAAATCCAGTCCAAAAGAAACTGTCTCAAATTATCTATTGCTCAGATCGTCTCCAACCATGTCAATAACCCATAGGTCTACCACACAGGTGTCTAGATCCTTACATCAGCCTCTGAAATAGGAAGTACTAGGCACACCCTAGGCACTCAGAAACAATTGAGTTGTTTTAGAATAAAGGTATCCTTGTGGAATTCCTAAGTAAGCTCCACTATTTGGGATTCCTCATAAAAGTCTCGACCAGTACCAAAGCGGAAAGATCGTCTCAAAGCCCAATGATTGAGTTTATCAGTTTTTAAAATCCTTTAGCAACCTACACTTATATAATTTGATTTTCTTGTCATTGATTTTCCTATACTATCAAAAATGATGCTTTCTTTACTATTTCACACTCATCATAAAATTGCTAAAAATCGAAAATTCAATTTGCCACATTACTGCTAATTTGAATAATGGCTGAATAAAAGACAGGAAACGCTGAAGCAGCAATGATTTCTAAAACATTTTGCACTTTCCTCCTCCATCCCTGTAAAGTAAAGCTCGGATGCTACGCACAATTACACAAGGAAATCAAGAAAGCCATTACATTCAGCATTTTGTCATGATCATTGTTACCATGGCAAAAAGTGGGCTTAGTTTAGCACAGCTGCTACGGGCGAGGTCCACTGGCCTTTTGTAAGGCTGAGTAACACTATAATGCCGAATTCTGTAGTCTGCTACTCCCCCCCCCCCCGCCCCCGCATAAGACTACTGTCCACAGATGCTACTACTGTCTCATTCCTAAATGACCTGGGCCAATGTCATCTTATTGTTGTATTCTTACTGTTGGGCAGTGATCGAGGAACATAGTTCATCCACCTCCTGTTCCAAGGCGGGGACATATGTTGTGTGGAAACTGGGGATTTCAATAACATAAAGAGTCAAAGTTTCGACAGTTGTATTGTAAATGAAAATAGAGTTGTGCTGGACACAGCACAGGTTAGCAAGTGAGAGAGGCAAATGCAGGCCTACAAGGAGGAGCTGGGTGGCATATTCTTTTCTTTCTCTGAGTATCGGTTTACTAATCTATAACGGGGGAATTAAAGTAACTTCCCTGGGAGAACTAACTGAGATCATCTGCAGGCCCAGGCAAATGGTGGGTACTGGAATAATATGGCATTCATAAGATGGCAGTCACAGCGTCTCCTCCCTCAACACCACACTCTTCATCACTGAGATTTCCATGCCCTCAGGAAAGTCAACTGTGAAGTTGGTAGAAAAACTATTTTCTACTGTTGTAAAGTAATTTGTTTTGATCTTTTACACAGGGGTGGGCAAAAGTAGGTTAATAATAATAATAATAATACATAATACAATAATTAATAAATAAATAATACAAGAATCAATTCTGGGTTTCGCATACCCACAACTGCAAACCTACTTTGCCCATGCCTTGTTTGGACCTTCTCCTCTGAGAGCTGAGGATTAAACGCCCTTCACGGACTGACAGTAGGCATACATTTCACATCGAAAAGATAAAAGTCAGTGTTAATATCATAATATGCACCATATCTTATTACTCATGCTTTGAGTGACACCAATATTATCACTATAAAATGGAAAAGGGCATATATACTAATTCTGACCTTATGCGAAGATTTTTAGTTTAAAAAAAATGAAGCAACATTATGAAAGTAGAGAAGTTTAAATGATCTGAAATGAATGCATTAATCAAGTCTCTGTATTTACTAGAAACAAAGGCTACTAGCAATTTTACCAGCTAAACAAAATATTTTTTTCTAATGAGATTTCAGCTGAGTATCGTTTATCTTAAGAGAAAAATAATGGGACCTTACCTATTCCAGTAGCTCCAGAACTGGTCATGCAGGTAGGCGTGGTGGCTACATTCATCACCAAATGAGGCTTTGCTTTCAATCCAGTGAATTATGTGCCCTTCTACAGCTAAGGGACAAAGCATTACTAATATGGAGCAAAGGAAAGGGAGGCTGAAAATACCGAACTAGGTACTGGCCCCTCTATGCTTCACGTTAATGAGCAGAGGCACTTGTTCCCGTCATCTATGGACGTAATTACAAAGCAACACATTGAATGTGTTCATTACCAGGAACATTTATGTACAGTCACATTCCTTTTATTTTCATCATCATCTTCAAAAGTCCCTCCCCTCTTCTGAGACTGTATAAGTTGACAAGTAATGTGAAAGCAAACAGAAGTGAGCCTGGCTTTTCAACGGAACTGTATTTTAAATGTGGAATATTTAGAGCAATGACTTGAGAGTTAGCTACCAATATGTCATCACAAGACATGTTTACTTCTCAGATATACATAAAAGATTGTAAGGGATGAATTTCGTCTGAACCTATTATTCTCTGGTCTTTAAAAATAATCTTTTCTGATGATTTCACCCATTTAGATACAATATTATAAAGCTGATCTACTTTGGTCACATTTGGTAGTATAAGAAAAAAGTTTATAACTCTATGGAAAAAACACATTCCTCTTCTCTATAAACAAAAGCATAACTGAGTTTAAGAACTTACCCACTGGTACTTGTAAAATAAAGTCTGGTGTTTTGTCATAACCCTTTGCACGGAGCTGATCTTCATCTGTAGGAAGAACAAATACTCTTACTTATAACAGAATTCCACTAATGACACAGCACTACAATTACTTTACTTTCTTAAACAATGTATAAAAATTACTAACGCATATCTTTCTTATGTACGCACTGTTGTGTCAGCTTAAGTGAACTTTCTTAACAAATCTGAAGAATAGACATAAGAATGCCTTTGTCCCTTTTGCATTTTTATGTCTTTATTATAAAGCTTATAATTCAAGCTGTCATATGTTTCCTTTTTTTTATCATTGAAAATACTCAAAATAATGAAATATACTTATTGATTAAAAGAAAAGGCTTTACTACTGTGAATATCATTAATGTTATTAGCCAATATCAACAATTCACAGTAAGGCGCAGGCACAGTGGCCTTTGCAATTATAAAACAAATACTTTCACTAAAGCAATTAAGAAAGTTTAGTTGCTATTAATGAAACTATTCCTACACACAGGAACACAAGAGGGACAAAGACAGTGCAATCACCTCAGAGAACTAATCATCCTGCTCAAGTCCTTTGGTATGCTATTGTTTCTGGCATTTACCAGGGTTTTACAACCAACATTATGTAATTCTGAAAAGCAAACAGGCTTTGAGATTTTTTTTCTCTAGGTCTGTTTGATTTCTTGATCCTGTATAAACATCAATGATCCATTCAGAAGGAAAAGAGATGGGGAAACAGAGAGCTTTACAAAGTTGGAAAAAACTAGCTAGGTACTTGGTTTAAAAAAACACACAACACTCCTCTGATATTTTCTAAATGCTGTCCTTGACTTCTAATGACATTACAATGTGATTTCTGAAATGAGGAGTTCTCCATTAGATTTTGGAGTGACCTGGTCATTCAATTCCAGACATGGCTTTCTGTCTTCACCCAACCTCAACTAATGGCCTGACCAAGTAACAAGGAAGGCTGTGTGGTCTCTTAACACCTCCTAGGCTGTTGACATTGTCATGCATCCCATTCGCCTTCCAGCATCACCTTTGATTAAAATTAATGGCCCATTCCCAGTGTTGGGTAGCTTATTTTCAATCCATTTGTCAGCCCAAGACAGTGGTTTCATGGCCAATGTTCAGAAACTCTGTTTGAGAACACTCTTATGTACATCTTGAAAGGTCAGCATTTTAGACGTAAATAACCTTTTAATGACAAGGCATATTTAAACGAGATATTTAAGTTAAATGTTATTAAAAGTTGAAATCCTTCAACTATCCAGGTTTTGAAGGATTGATGCCAGAATTCAGAACAATTTCCCATCCTTGAACTATAAAACATTCTAAGTTAACTGTTGAGATAAGAAAATACAATATTAAAGTAATCTTTTAAAACCAAGAGAATTTGGAAAACAGGACAGCAGATGAATGAGACTGGAAAAATTTCTATCCTCTAAATGCACTCTGACCACAAGAATGTTTAATGGAAAAGGCATTTATTATAATCAACTCAAGTGCCTTGAGCTGACGTTCCAGGTAGCCGATGAACAGTTTTAAAAGCTGGGTTGACATTAAAAAAGGAGAGATTAATATTTTATTAAAACTATCCTAGCTTGATCAACCTTTGCAGATGTTCAAATCTATTTCAGAGAGAAAAATGATTAGGTTTCTGACAGCAGCTCAAAACAAAATTTCAAAGGTCACCAAGCAATCCAAATACACACACTAACATCCCTTTAAAAGGCAGGTGCTCTACTCCTGTCCATGCACCACAGTTACTAACACAATACCTACAATGTAGATTTCATCACTTCCTTAACGTGAAAAAAAAAACACACAAAAAAACCTCAAACCTGAACATAAAACATCAGGTGAGTCTGGGAAATCTTTCCATCTTTCTCTGGAGAACTATAAAGTGCAAACGTCTCCCCTACTTCAACTCCACTTTCCCCGCTCCCAGTAAGGATGGCTTCTAACAGTCTGCGTCACCACTGGTGACATTACACTTTTTTATATATGTGTGTGCCGAGAGGTTATTCCACACATCTCAAATGCTACTATGCACTGGCTATCTTCTCCTTCACTTACTAAACTCGCCCTGCCTTCTGCACCCTGTTTCAGCCTTCACACTGTTTCTTTCATCCTAGATTTCCTAAGAAAGAAGGTGGGAGCAACTTGGCAAAGTTCACAGGAAACGACAGTATGAGAAAGGGAACAAGGGGCTTGCTCACCTGGTCTAGGGCCCAGGAAAAGTTTCCCTCAGTGATCCCACTAGGAGATTTTTAAGGTCAGCCCCATCCATTTGGCCTGATTTCCTGACCCCCAGACCTTGAAAGATCCCTTCCTATTAGGATCATTATCCAATACATTTAAAACTCGGTTGAATGTGGTTCAGGGTTGCAACTCTAAGATCCAGAGGCTATGACTCAGTCATCAGCCCACATTCTTCCCCTCGGCCTCATTCTCTGTTCACTCCCTTGTTTTAGTGAGCTGGACCCGTCTCCCACAGGCAAGGCCTGAAGCCTCCACTCTGAGAACAGAAGAGATTCTGTTCCTTTTTTTAGTTTATCCATTGCCTTACTCTCAACACCAACATACACTTTGCACATATTTAATGCTCAAAAAAGATAACAGAATAAAATGCAAGTGCATTTTTAATTTTTTTAATTTACTGATTGGGACAACGCTCTGACCAACTGAGCTACTGGGCCAGGGCAAATACAAGTGCGTTTTAAAGACAATTCTTCCACAAAGCCTATCTAGACCGACTTAATACTTTTCTGATTTAACTCTCCATGAATCAACAAGGCAGAGACAACAAATCTGGTCCAGAGTTCAAGGCTGCATTTGGTAATTCTCACTGACATCTTTCATCCTTGGTCCCAACTGTCTGCTGAGGTTCATCCTGACCCTAAAGAAAGAAACCTTAGCCCTGGTCAGTTTGGCTCAGCGGTTAGAGCGTCGGCCTGCAGTCCAGAGAGACCCAGGTTCGGTTCCCGCTAAGGGCACGTACCTTGGTTGCGGTTTGTCCCCGGCCCTGGTTGGGTCGTGTGGGAGACAGCTACTCGATGTGTCCCTTTCATGTCAATGTTTCTCTCTCTCCCTTCCTTTCTCTCCCTCCCCCTCTACTATCTGAACAAAAAATGGAAAATGTCCTTGGGTGAGGACAAAAGAAAAAAAAAGGAAACTTCATTCTTTTCCTTTATACTCATGGGAATATCTCCTACTTTTATCTCTGATCAGTATTTATTTAAATAACATTGGATGTATCCACTCCTGAAAGTTTGGGCAGAATGCCTTGAACACCCGTCTGGGCCTGGTGCTGCCGTGGTGGGCAGCTCTTCCGTCACTCCTGCTGCTTTCACGGTTCCTGCTCTGTTCAGATTTTTCTCTCTTCTACCGTCAGTTTTGCAATTTATACTTTCCTTGAGAATCATACATTCCACCCAGTTCTCACAGCTGTTTGCACATCTTTCAGCCAGGTTGTTACTTATGATTCTTTGAACTTCCCAAGTGGAAAGCAGATGTTTAAGTAACATGGTATTTTCTTCAAGAAAAAAATATGAAGATTAAAAAAAGGTAAGAAAAATATTAGTTAGAACGGGAGGGGGAGAATAATGACAATGTTTTTGGCATTTTTAATAGAATTCTCCCAAATGGTTGGGGATCAATATGAAATTAATCTGCCAATTCTGCATTCCTGTCTTATTCAGTGAATATAGCAAATGTGAGGTAAGGCTCTTTCTAGTTTAAGGTGTATATTCAAAACACCCAATCTATTTCATAACCACTAAGCTTGTTAATGTCAGCTCAAGTGTTCATGATCAAAATTCATATAATAATATTCTCCCTTAAAATAGGCCTTGTTAGCCTCCAGATCCACAAAATGTAGAATTTTTAGTTCATGTGAGCCTCAGGAAACACAGTATTTCTGAGCTTATAAGGTTTTAGAGATTGCCAGTCCAACTCTAATTCACACAGGGTAAAGGTGTCCTAGAGAAGTTAAGCGACCCAGACCTCTAAAACAGTTAAAGATACAGGCAAGGGTCCCAAAGCACGAAGTTCTAATTTGTCCCTATAGACTCTATACCACTCTTAATTATGAAAACTATTTAAATTTTATCATGTGCATAAATAAATAAATTTTATTTATGAAGTGAGAAATGATTCTTATTGGCCTCCTTGAAGATCTTGAAGAACAGGAGAGGCGATGGCCATCTGCTGGATATTATTCTTTGGAAGACACCTGCCTGAAGAGATAAACTCAATAATCTCTTGACTTCTAGATGCTCCTCCCTCCAACTGAGCTAAAAAAAATAAAAACATCTGCCTCCACAGATATTTTTTGGTTGCCAGTCCTGCCTTCAGAGGACATTTTTAAAAAGAAATTGCATGTACTTAGAGAACACTGTGAAAGTTTAATTTCTCTGGCCTTTTAATTACCGTCTCCTCTAAATACCCAAAATATCCAAAGCAATTAAGTACTAATCACACAATTTCTTTTTTTAAAAAAAATAAAAGGCTGATTTTGAGTCAGAGAACAAAACACATCTGAAACTAGTTAACATATACTTAAGCATCACAGAAGGGCATGAGGACTACCCAGAAAAAGTTTGAGGTTTTCTTCTGTTCATTGTATTAAAAGGCTTTAAATTTAAGAAATACAGTTACTGCCAGAGAAATTGTATAAAATCTCAGTTCACAACATCTGAAAACAAAAAGTAAGCTTCTGGCATGGCATTTTAGCTATGAATTTGTCAAAAGATTTCTAAATCTTCTGGGTTAAAGCACATTGTATGATTAACAGGAATCTTTTTAACATCTGCAATATCTTTACTAAATTGGGGAAGGGCAAAAAGGATATATATATATATATATAAATACACACACGCACACACACACACACACACACACAACGATACAAATAAAAACTATAGGATATCTGTTCTGTTCCAGTATTTTTTTCTGTGTTATTTTTTTCCAAAACACCAGTCTCATTCAATACTTGGTGCTATAACCTTTGTATCCCATATTGTTATATTCTCTAACAGTAAGTT